CCTGGAAACATTCCAGGTCAGGTTGGACAGGGCTCTGAGCAACCTGATCTAGTTGAAGATGTCCCTGCCCACGGCAGGGGGGGTGGACTAGAAGACCTTTAGAGGTCCCTTCCAACCCAAAATATTCTATGATTCTATGATAACTGATGCTAATTTAATGACCACTAAGAAAGAGGCACATTACTAGGAAAGATAAAGTTGAAATCATTCTTAGCTGCAATGTAATGTAGAAAAAATTTAGTGGATGAAATTTACGCCCACCAGAGTGGCTGGAAATGGTTACATTAAGCCATCCAAGAAAAATTCTCGAAAAAACAATAGTAACTATAAAAAATCAAAACAGCAGAAATGAAATGGCTTCACAACAGCTACAAACAATATGTTTGTTTTTGTAACGACAGTAAGTTGCTGGTATTTCAGCTTCTTAAGATAGAAGAGGTCAATGGAGGTGGCCTCTAATTCAAGCATCAAGGGAGAATTTACCATATAGATGACTAGAAATAATTACGATTTATATTTAAAGACAATAATACTAACTTTCTATCACAATATTTGCACTATCATTATCTGAAAACAAGCATTTGAAAAAGTGGTAAGATTGTATATGCTCTAGGTAATACACATACCTTTTTCTTTTTTTGTTCTGGTATCTGCTAAACAGGCTTTTGCACTCCCCAGTGCTACCAGCCACCTTTGCCTTTCGGCTGCGTTAACTGCTTTCATATAGAAATGCTGTTCCCCAGGGATGATTAGCTCCATTCTTGTGTTGTCTGTTGCATGAACTTATGACAGAGGAGAAAAAAAAAAAAAACAATTTTTTGGGGAAAAAAAAAAAAACAAAACACAAAACCCTCAACTAAGTAACAATTATTTATTAAATACTGATCAAAGTATTTTAAAATGTTTATTACAATCCCAAAGTAATACGGTAAGTCACAATGTATCACTGCTAAATAACAAAAAGCCCAAAGCTGCTCATCCCTTCTCCCCAGCATGCCTTCAAGTCAACAGGTAGGAACACGAGACACCGAACAGCGGCCAGACTCAAGTACAATGGGGTTCCCTTTCTGCATTAACAATATACTGCGTATAAACTGTAATAACTCTTGTATTCCAAACCTGGTCTAAACATGGCAAACTGAAGAGTTTTGTTGCAAAGACAAGTATTTACAGAGGACTAGGCTAAAAACTGAAGTAATCTCCCTTCTAGATGAAATCTGGCTTCAGGTCGCAGAGTCCTAGAACCAAGAACTGAGGTGGACTTTGTTAACAGTCTATTATACTCAATACTGTATCTTTAACTGAATACTCTGCTGAGTTTCATGTTATCAACCACAGTTCCTCCAGATCCGCTCCCCACGGATGCAGGAGTCTGCACCAAATCCCGACTTCAACTATTATCTTTCCTTCACCAAAAGAACAAGATGACAAGGCAAAATGAACAACTGGAATGGCCAAAAAATGGGATCTCCCACTTTACATCACTGATTTCATCTACACCAAGGAAACAGTAACAAAAAGGAGTTACCACATGAAAAATACTTGGTGGCCCACGTAAAATAAGAAGTCCCACTTTTTAATATACAAGTACCCACATCACAAGCCCAGGCATCTGTGGGTATCTGGAAAGAGGCCAAGAGTTGAAAGCAATGGAGAGTTAGACAATGCCTTGCTATTAGCCAAGGAGGTTGACCTACAGCTTAGAATAGACTGTGAGTTTAGCCTTCAGTGTGACACAAACAGTACACTTACTAACTCTAATACATCCATCACCCATGCACATGGGCAGCTGCTAACACTGACAGAAGTAAAAATGACTCAGGAAAACAAAAGACTAAACATCTCTGGTTTATAAGAATCTCCCCTTTTGGGTCACTGATGCTGCTCTTCTGAAAAACTAGCATTTATGAATCAGTCTCTTACCCCTGGTCATAAAAGGGATTAAGCGGTAGAACTAAATAACTAGCCGAGGTAACTTCAAGCATAAGCCACTCGCACACAACTATTTAAAACAAAAAGGAATATATGGTGGTTTCTAAATCTCAAAACAGAGCTCTAACTGTCAGAAACATTTTTCTTTGTCACCATTTCATAATTCACATCCATTATTATTTGTGAACTATGAAGCAGTCACATTGGACCATAGACAAACAAAAATAGAGGAGGAAAAACTTGTGATGCAAAATGTATGTTGGGTGATCTTTTCTATTTCCCTGGCAGCTAAAATTTCCTCAAGCAGAAATCTATCAACTCTTACCTTTTATTTCACACACAGCCATCTTTATACTTCCTTTGCTGCCTTTGCAAACATCATCTTGTGAATCATAGTATGCCAATATCCCATTGTCTAAAACAAACCACCGGGGCTGCCAACCGAGTGAGATCAAAAGCATGAAAAGGAAAGTTCATTCTTATTACTATTAGTTTTGGCTGTTAAAACTTTTATATATATATATAAAAATATTTTTTTTAATATAAAAAAAACATTAAACTATTCATTTAACACAGCAGGAAGTAAACAATCTGCACAGTCTGAAGACCAGAGCCACTCTATAACCAAACTAGTATTATATGGATATTTCACTCCCATTCTTTTTGGATGCAAGATCCGCAGTATTTCAGTTTTCACTGTATTCCATTCTAGAGCAAAATTAAGTTTTAATTTAGCCACCAAGGAATCCTATTTTGAAGGTTGATAAATTACATATGTCTGAAGAACCATTCTCATTCAAGTGTATTTTTCAGGCAGACTTTCCTAAGATTGTAGGATCTTATTTGTAAGACACAAATGACTGATGTCAAATTGCTATGCTATGGTCACCTCTGCCTACTGCATTTCAGTGAAAACTTCTATATTTCACACTTAACTATTGACACACCATTTTCTCTGAAAGTAGCCCAGCTCCATCGCTCAGCAACAATTTAATATCAGGCATTGTGCAGGGAACTGAAACATGGCTTATACTCCTAGGTCCATTTGTGAGTACAGCATACACCGGCTCCTCTACTAAGGTTTTCACCAGCTTTGCATTAGCAAAATTATATGATGATCTCTGACTTCGCTATATCTGTAAAACATAGTTTATGCATCGATGCAAATACCCGCGAGAACTCTATACAGCATTACACTACATAGTAAATTGTTGTCATAGGCTTAAAGTATATTAGCATTCCTTTTTTTTCTTCCTTTTTTTTCCCCTTTTTTCTTTTTTTAACAGCTATTTCATAAAACTCAACACTCATTGAAATAGGTGCCCTAATTTCTAATACTACTAAATGCAAACCATTTTGCCTAGTAAGTCACCTTTACTTCTAAAAATAACGTAGAACTAAAATATTCCAGTAGAGCATAACAGTTACACTGGCCTGTTACAGTCTGGGTCAGCTGTACAATAGGAGCAGATTATCCCTCTATTTTACAACTCGACACCAAACTTAAACTTCCTACTTGGCTTAGGGTCTGGACTGGCAACAACTGCGTGGCCAAGAACTCAACATATTTGGTGATATGACGGTGTGGTCCATGGCGCTTACCAATTGGCATTCCAACAGAGCAAGCTGCAGCCATCCAGCAGCAGTGCATTATAACACAGGAGGCTTAATTAGGTACCAGACTCTTGAAAATCAGCTAAAGGCTTCATACTACTCACATTAAGTCATTACAAGTTTTAACACTAATTCAAGAAGCGTAAGACTAGGCCCCATTACCTCATGTCACAATTCCATGATAAAGAAATAATAACATGTAACTATTTTTTTAATTTATTAGCTATAATGGTAAGCATCTGTGCCTTTCAAAATGCAGAATGGTAACTAATAAGCCTATCCACACTCAGATATAAAAACAGAATGAAAAAAGTACAAACTTTAAAGGATACCAACTCCCACAGGAAATATTTCAAATTGTATGTGTACATCACCACTTATACTCAAAGAATATGCAAACAGACATGAAATGACTGTACTGAAGACCCTGTCCTGTAAAAAGCAGCTCAGAAATGCACTAACTTTTTTTTCCTGCTACACTGTGTTGCAAAACATTGACTCTGTGCTGCCCTTATCTCCTAAGTGCATGCACAGGTGGTAAGTCAACGCCTGTCTCAACATTCCGATTCCAATCAAAAGGGACCCTACATGGATGATTATTCCAGCCTCACATTATGCTGGTACTGGAAAAAACAGAAGCAAAGGATTTAAAAGATTCCAAGTGCCTCACAGAAGCAAGCTATAGAACAAGAACACCTCTTCTGATTTGAAATTGGGCAAACAGTGTCCTTTGTTTGACAAAATATTTAACAAATTTGTACTTTACAAATTCTCAGATGCACACATACTGTT